ATGAATTTTTAATTACACAAAGTAGGTAAGTATTATCAAATTAATATATGTGAATTGTAAAATGTTGTTAAATATAATATATCAACTGATGAATAATGCAAATTATTCAAAATTTAAGGTAATATTCACGGTTGACCTTGGATTACAGTACGCACGCTGCGCGTTTACCGCCCTCTTTCTCAAAAACGATTGAGCGCATGAAAAAAAGGTTCAGATAAAATTTATCCTAAATTTTATGCTTTACAATTTTTATAACAGTTGTTAACATCATTGGAGCAATAGAAACTGAGATAACCACGAAAAACTATTTTTTTTTACCTTTGACCTTGTATAACTTCCGATACAGACACGAGGTTATATGAAACTTTCGAGACAGCTTTTAGAACGCCATAATAAAGGTATATACAAATATTTAGCTTATTACCTCTCATTCCGAGGTTATTCGCTAAATTAACTGTACTATACACGCCTCAATATGTTCTCTTTGGAAATTCGTAAAAAAGTGATATATCAATTCGGGTTGAAATAATACCTGGGGAAATAATTTGTCCTATAACTCATAATATTTGAAATACCTTACGGAATCACACAAAATTATGATATCTTCTACTCTTCCATATTACAGAACAAATTGCGGATATCATAGTGCAATTTTTCGTCTGTTGAAAATTCGGTAATAATTTAAATTATTTCAATTGTATTAAATCTACCTCATTAGAATCATTTGAAAATTATCTTAAACAAATGATTCAACAAATATCTTTCTATTTATATTAAATAGTTTGAAGTTTTGGTAACATTTGGTTTGTCAGTTCATTTAATCTACTGCACCATTTACTATGCTTACAATATATTTTTGTCGCTATACAGGGTGTTTCAAATTCGATCCTCACCATTGGGATCTCGGAAACTATGAGAAATACAAAGATGGTTAAATCAGGGCAAATTTGCGCATTTACCCGACTAACATTATGCCGTTGAGAAAGTTCTGAAATTCCGAGTATATCCGGAGACATCCGAAAAAAATGATGATAACAATTATTATAAAAATTGTAGAGCATAAAATTTAGAATAAATTTTATTTGAACACTTTTTCATGCGTTCAATNAGTGAAAGCCATTTTTCGCCAAAAATTCAATGACTCGTACAATAACAAAATGTCATTGAGTATAACAGATTTAAAGTCAAATTTAGAAACATCAAAGTCGAAGCCTATTATGATAAGAATTAATTTTTTCAATATCTCCATTTTTTTGGAAAGAGCATGATAACTTATGATACATCATTGAATAGGTAAAATGTGTTTCTATTCAAAACAGAAAGAATCCAATGTAGCGCCCATAAGAAAAAATAAAGTTGATAATGGTGGCCGGAAGACGAAAGGTCGGAGAAAACACCATTATGTAGCAGGGAAAAAGTGGCAATGTGGAAGTGCGATTTATTTTTGAATCCTTCGAAAAAAATTGAAACCAATTTCCGAAATTTCTGTTTTTTCTGGATATACTCGGAATTTCAGAACTTTCTCAACGGAATATTGTTGGTCAGGTAAATGCTCAACTTTGTCCCAATTCAACCATCTTCGTATCTCTTCGTGAGGATCGAATTTGAAACAACATTTTGCAAATGGGTCCTTTCGAAGTTTCGATTAGTACTAATCAATATGAATAGCAATAGGTTACCTTTTATTCATCCATTGGCAAACAGTGGGAGCTGAAATATTTTAATAACATTTTTCGGAAAGGTGTAAGATGCTAAAGTTTTCGAATATTTTCTGATATTAACCTCCAAAGACTTCATCAAATGTGTTTTCATAGCTGAAATAGTGCTGGTTAGTTTGATAACCTTTGACAACTTCAAATCTTCAGTGATTTATAATCTATTTCTTTTTTGTAATTGAATCCGAATGATGAGGTATGAAGGTGGAGAAGCTACCAAAAACTTCCTCGTGATAGACAATAATGCAGGATAGTAATCTCTGAAGCAGAAATTACTGATATACTGTTCTGAACTTTGTCAAAGTTCTTCGGACTTATTCGAAACATTCATTTCTTTCGGATCCCCAAATCTATTTTCCTTCTAGTTTATTTCAATTACCCATAGTCGGTTTGCAGGTTTGTAAACTTCATTTTTGTAGAACAAATAAATGCTAGAGGATGTCAACCATACATGCTTACCATATTACATCTCCAAAAATTCTTGCATATTGATATGTTTTAGTGAAAAACTGCATTTTTTCGTAAAGAAGCTATTCCATTGTGAAACTCGTGCTTTGGTTTTGTAAAGTGTTTTTGTGAAAGTCTTAGAAATCGTTTCAGCAGTGTTAACCTTTTAGCTGATTACCTAATAACGTTCCGCAAAGCACAATCACAAGACACACATAAAAATTAATACATACAATGTTATAATATTCAAGTGCAAATATTCATCGTGTGATGATCCTGAATAAATACTGGAAGTTGAAAAGGATAATTTTTGTCAACTCTATTCAAACCTAGATCAAATTATGAAAAGTTACTTCAAGGGAACACGCGAAACCGTCAATATCGTTTAGAAGAAAACTAGCTTCAGATATTTGCACTTTTTGCAACTAAAAATTTCCCACAACAGAAATATTGCTACAATCTTAACAAAACTGGAAATCGTCATTGGCATAAAATAAATTTTTTATGGATTCTAAACTCAAATAGTCAATAACTAGTCGACAAAAAGATTGAATCGCTGATTGCATTTCGTAACTTCCGCATTTCATTCTTGCCTTTCACTATCTCGATAAACTGGTTAATTTAAAATTCATTTACATACTCTTATAATATATAACATAAATGACGTCTAACTACCCATCCAAAACAATACTTCAATGAGACTAATTAACCCAACCAGTTTTGTCAGACGGTAGCTGGTTGGTTAGCATGAGTTATTCGCTCTATGTATTCAATCATTTGTGTATAGTTTGATTCACACTACAAATCGCACGTTCAAAGATAAGACATCATTAATCCTTAGCTCGCACAAGTTTCGACTGCATCATCTATCGTTCATAAGGGGGAGACAGCTGATCTGTTTCTGCTGATAAACGGATGAACGTTCTAAAAAATAATAGGAACATACTAGGAACAAAGCCACGCCCACGTATTGTTATTTATTATGTAATTTTACTATTTCTGTGAAGATATTTATAATAATAATAATAATCGTCTTTATTGTTTCCCAGCTGTAGTTACATACAAATATTTAAATAAATTACAGAGCTAGTTGCTGATGTAACGAAAGGCGAAGTTCAACTCAGTTAGCACAAGTGCTACTGAGTTGTTCTTCCACTCAATCTCACCCAACTGTCTTCCACTCCACTCAATATCAGAAAAATTATGATTTACAAATACTGTAATGTTTAAAATACTGCGTGACAAAATTACCAACATTTCTAAGCGAAAAAAAATATAATCAACAAAAAACTAGATTGGAAGAAACACGAATTGATCTCAAAAAGTGCTCCCTTCTTTCACCAATAATCTTCGACTTTACTCGGTTGTTGAAAGCAAACTTTTATTCGATTGAGTTATACGAGGACTGTTAAAAACATAGTGATAATAGTGACCTATGAAAATCTGTTATAAAAGATGGTGATTATTTAGAAAATGATAAAAAATATTGATGTCTACTTGAAGTATAATAATTTGGAAATACTGACAACATGAATGTGTAGCAGAGCGAAATAAATCAAAATATTTTTTCTGAAGGAATGAGGGTAGTTTAGGAAGCACAAGATGTCCACGTCAGTGGGGTGCTAATGCCGATTTTTAGTTCCCCCACCACTTGACCTTGACCTACGTCACACAACGTTACAAGGTCGAAAGACCTTGAGTGCATGAAAATCGATCTTGACATATTAGACTATATCCTTGATATACGTGATATACGTCATATGACCTTGGTTGCGGATACAGAATATTTCTCGTCATATGACCGTGCAGTTTAAATCACCTGAAGTATTTGAAGAGGTGACATTAACAAGTACTACCAATCTAATAAGTGAAGATTTTTGTCGCATCGTCACATATTTTGAACATATGAACACATTTTATGTCCCAAACCGTAATTTCACTATATTCGAAAATTGATAATTTAAACCTGGGCAATTTGGAACTGGACAGCTTCTTAGGGCAGCTGTCCTAAGAAGAAATGCTTCACATCCTGTCCTCTTATGATCGCGAACCATGCAGAGAGGGGGATTTAAACTCATGATGATTTAACAGGTTCCAGTACTATTCTTTCATATAGACACTCCAAACTCAAAAATCCACGGCCTCCCTATTGTCGAGTGAAATGTGACCGTGGAGCGGATAATTTGTGATGTAACTTTCTATGGAGTTATTTTTTTCCTCGAAGATTGCGCTGGTTGGACTATGCCTCCAAAACCCCGATACATTAGAAGGGCATGCTAGCATCATTAACAAATAACCACTGCTCACACCGTGAACTGAATGGGTCCAAAAATGCTGTGCCCTGAGTAGACGCAATGAGCCTAAAATGACAGTATTCTGCATTTATCCGGCCCAGATTTCTGACTTAGCTTTATACCGGCATGATTTTGAGTGCAGCCATCTCAACAGAATGGTCTAAATGGAGTTCGACAAGAAAGTCTCAATATTTCATTCGATTTTGTTCCACGTTTTGGACGATAATCGTCTCACTTCAACTTTTGAAATTTCTCCATCGATAATGATAATCAGTTTCCATTTAGATGTTATGCCAAAACTCCGATATCTGAAGGGCATAAAATCTACATTTCAAAGAGAGGCAGACATAATTTTATGATTTTTTTAATCAATTTCTGTTATATCATCAGAATTTTTTCACAATCTAAAATCAGATGACGTATTCGAAAGTGTTGTATTTTAACTTGTTATAGTGCATTTTGACATAGTGACTATTTTTTTTACGAACTTTTGTATTCATATCGATTTGCAATCGTTTACTTTCACACAATATTTCATTTTCAGTCATACGACGCGAACGACGACATGGGAGGACCCAAGGAAATCATTGGCCGCACAAGCGGCACAGCAACATCAAAGTGCGGAACTTTTGATACCACATCCACAATCCCCTAATCCTAACAGTAAGTGTTATTTAAGGTTTTTTTTTATAATAATCCATTGAGGGTCGTATTTTCACACTAGCCGAACTATCGGTGGATGTCATAGAATCACGTCAAAAACAGTCAATAGCTTTTAGCTGACGGGTATTTCTGGGCAGCATATTGAAAAACCGGCCCCATAGAATCGAACAGATTAATGTACTGATTTTTTGTATTCTTCGAGCTCTGTAATATCAGAAGATGTAACGATGAACTTTTTGAACCATAATTTTTTGTTGCCTAATAGACTTCCAGATTTCTGTAGAATATTTCGTGAGCATTAGATAATATGATCTCTAAGGTTATCATCAACCTTATAAATTGTTCATTATTGGTTTCATGAAAAGGCATTGGAACTAAAAAACCTAATAATAAAAAATAGTGACAAATTAGAAAATTAAACTTTTTATGTTTTTTTACCACAAGTGAGGTTCTTGTATCTGAACTTCTAACTCATTAATCAAGGATTGTAACTATTTTTATTCGGGTTTGAAAGCCGTCGATTTTTGGAATTAGGAAAGCGAGAAAAATTTGAAAACGCAGAAACAATACCAATATCAATCGAAAGGAGAATAAACTTAACATAAATGACGTCTAACTACCCATCCAAAACAATACTTCAATGAGACTAATTAACCCAACCAGTTTTGTCAGACGGTAGCTGGTTGGTTAGCATGAGTTATTCGCTCTATGTATTCAATCATTTGTGTATAGTTTGATTCACACTACAAATCGCACGTTCAAAGATAAGACATCATTAATCCTTAGCTCGCACAAGTTTCGACTGCATCATCTATCGTTCATAAGGGGGAGACAGCTGATCTGTTTCTGCTGATAAACGGATGAACGTTCTAAAAAATAATAGGAACATACTAGGAACAAAGCCACGCCCACGTATTGTTATTTATTATGTAATTTTACTATTTCTGTGAAGATATTTATAATAATAATAATAATCGTCTTTATTGTTTCCCAGCTGTAGTTACATACAAATATTTAAATAAATTACAGAGCTAGTTGCTGATGTAACGAAAGGCGAAGTTCAACTCAGTTAGCACAAGTGCTACTGAGTTGTTCTTCCACTCAATCTCACCCAACTGTCTTCCACTCCACTCAATATCAGAAAAATTATGATTTACAAATACTGTAATGTTTAAAATACTGCGTGACAAAATTACCAACATTTCTAAGCGAAAAAAAATATAATCAACAAAAAACTAGATTGGAAGAAACACGAATTGATCTCAAAAAAATTTCAGCAAAGACCGCATCATCCTACAGAAGTTATTCGAAAACCACTATTTCTGACAGTCAGCAGGGTCTTCTTAACATCAGTCCACAGGGAAATAGCATGGTAACTGCAGTTGCTAAGAGCCCCACTAGCAATTTTGAAATCGATTTCCACAACATCAGAAAACTCAACTCAAATATAAACTCAGTGCACCAACATCTGCAATCAAATAGTCCTCATATTCTTGCACTCACAAAAACCAAAGTCAGTGCTTCAACAAACCCCGTTAATTTTCTATATCCCGGCTACGATTTACACTCCCGATTCAGACATAACTTTGGAATATAGCTTTTCATCAGAAGCGATCTCTCCTGTCAACGAGAGGAAATTCTGGAACCCCGAAATTTTGATGTTATGTGGATCAAAATAATATCACAGAAGATCACCAAATGCTTATGCTTCGTTTATCGACTGCCTAGCGATACACAGTATAGGGTACTATTCTCTTCACTTGCAAACACCATTGACTTTCTGCAAATCAATCATCCCAGTGCCAAAATTTCCATATACGGTGAATGGCTCAAATTTTCAAATATCAACGACGAACAAGGTTGAGAAGCGAAGGCTTTTGCAATAAGCAGCTGACTTATTCAGATTAAATGAGCCAACCAGGATTCCTGACCATGATGGAGAATATGCTAGTCTTCTGGATCTATACCTAACAACCAATCCAGAAATTTACACACCGCAAGGTCTCCATTGGGATCTTCTGACCACAAACTATTTTCATTGTTGAGTGAATTAACGATAAATGTTGGGGAACAATCTAGCCGCGCAAAGTTTGGCATCACAGATTAGCTGAATGGGAGGATCTTCAAGACCATTTCTGAAATTTCCCCTGGCTTGATGTTTGTTTCAGTTCTAAAGATCCATGAACTTGTGCTTCTGAAGTCACGGAAGTTATTCTATCATACATGGATGCACATATTCCTTTTTCAGTGAAACGACCTTCTAACGGCAAACCTTGTGGTTCAACAAATATTGCGAGCAAGCTATTGCCTAAAAAAATCTCGCCTCCCGGCAGTGGCGCAAAAATCCCAGTGCCGAAAACCGAACTAGGTTTGTTAATGCTCGCAACAGCTGCAAACTTATGATAAATCAAAGCAAAGAACCTCACAATCAGAGAATTGGGGATAAACTGCTTGCCAATCCCAACGGGTCTATATCCTTCTGGTCGGTAGCTAAAGCTGTTAATCAGAACTTTACAAAATCCACAATTCCACTACTTGTTCAATTGCAACAACAGCCATAGAAAAAGCAAATCTACTAGCTGAACAATTTGCGTCCCACTCCACAGTCGATTTTCTGGGAAAGGCACCACCCACTATTCCCACAATAGAATCCATAATACCGGAAATTACTTTTCGACAGCATCTAGTCAGACGAATTTTGAAACCGCTTACTATCAACAAGGCGTTTGGCCCTGATGAAGTGGCCGTCATCGTACTTAAAAAGTGTGTAAATGAACTCGCACCAGTATTTTGCAGGGCAAGAAAATTCTTCCAAATGTCTATAAACAGTGATATCAAAAATCATGGAGAAAGTCGTAAACCACCATATCCTCAAATATTTGGAAGGCTTCAACATCTTGAGCGATCATTAATAAGGCTTTCGGAAACAAAGATCAATATGCTAACTTCTATCGTACGTCACCCATATTTGGGATAACGCAATCGAGAAACATGGAAAATCAAAAGTTGATTTGCTTGATATTTTTAAGGCCTTTTACCACCGTGTGTGGCATGAGAGTTTGCTGGCAGAACTTCGATGCTATGGCTTTTCGGATCTCTTTTGTGCATGGCTCTTCAGCTTCCCGAAAGAAATCTTAATGAGGATCTAGAAGTTATTTCGGATTGAGGTGAAAGTAACCAGATTCAATTCATTGCCACAAAAACCCCGGTATACACCTCAGCAACGTTTGATGCTTGATCAGACCTTCTTTGGAGTATTGTTCTCATGTATATTGAGATCTGCCCCCAAAAATACCTCGAAGTTGCTGGATTCCATCCAGCAAAGAGCCTTCTGCCTGATTTCAGACGATAACATCGATGAAAAGTTGGAGATTTGTCTCTCTTCTATATATACTTTCACAGGAGGTGTTCAAGAGCGGTACATATCAGAAATATGCGACAGACTGTGGCTGCTTATCGTTTTGAGGTTCAACTCAGTATACCTCGCAAACTTCACTGTTTAAGAACTCTTTCATCTGGAGGCACCGCTCTGAGAGCGCCTTAAGGATTTTCCTGTAGTGCTTGTGTTTTGTCTAACGATCAGAATTCAATACGTCGAAATGAAATAACGGTGTATCTAGCGTAAGATCTATAAAACATGGAGTGTCCGTACATTTTCCTCATATTCATAGATAGATGGCCTACCAACTGCCTTACCAAACAAAGATTATGTACCCTACGCTGACGAAAAAACACAAATAACAACTTTTAGGCTTTCATCCAAACCGTCAAAAACTCATTTATTTCTTTTATAAATAATTGGTTTTTGGAAAATAGACTGAAAGTAAATTATTTAAAAACTAAAACGATCACTTCGATCGAGATTCTGTGTAATTTCTTGGAGTTCATCTAGACTCAAAACCGATATGGGATTCATATAGTGAAATTGTATGCAAATGACTATCTTGTTTTTACTACGCTCACGCTAAAACAGTAAATCTGTTTAAATCTGTTTAAAATCTGTTTTTCCGTTAACCAGCTGTCGCACCCCTACGAACGACAACCCTCAGAAGTCGAAACTTGTGCGAGCTAAGGATTAACGAGGTCTTACCTTTTAACGTGTGATTCCTAACACGGGTTGGACGGTAGCAAGTGAAGATCGATCGTTCAGACTAGGGCTTGAACCACCGACCAACACGGCAGTCAATTCGAGTGAGTGAACAAAGCACCCACGCCGAACCGCTTGGCTACCGGCTGACCGGTAGCCAAAGCGGAGTATATCAGACCCTATCGTGGTCTGATATACTCCTTATCTTTCACTATTCTCTCATGGGGCTATTTCCTGAATACCTCCAATGAATTTAGTATGCAGAGAGGCTAACATTGGAGTGAGGCTCACAAACACCTAAATATATAATTTCCTGTATTTACATTATTCAGTACCTGCTGTAGGTACATAAAAAATAACGAGCGCCATTACACCAGACATGCTGATATTTACAACTATCACACAATAGGTTCTTCTAATATATTTACAGATCATCACAGAATTTCAAAAACATGAAATGGCTTCAAATATTATACCACTGAATTATTTAATACACTTTCTCTCTCACTGAAAAATCCTTAAGATCATGTGTTCAAAGTGGAAATCAAAAGCGTTCTACTCAAAAATGCTTTCTATGACTTTGATGAACTTTTAATTTAAAATTTCAATTTGTGAATGTATATTGACTCATAAACACAAATGCGTAACAGCACCAATAAAAAAATATACATTATTGAAACCGTTTTTCAACTTTCTTCAACTGACATCACAGGAATGCGAGTAAAACAAAAAATTCACAGTTTTCAAAAGTACTGTATAATACCTTGGATACATCCTAAAAGAAATATTAACGAAAACATACAAAATTCATAAATTGGAAAAAAACATGTTCAATTCCACAAAATGTGCTAATGGCATATTTTGGCCAAAAGCCCAAAGATTTGAAGGCTATATTATGATTAACCTGTCAATT